GGGCGGGGAGCCTGAGGGGAGGGATCCGCGGGGGTCCCTCGGGGGCTGGGGGGGGGGTGTTCGTTAGCGCCGATTAACGGCCCCAACGGTCGTGTTTATCCGCTCATCCCTAAACGTTCTCGGTCCCTGGAGACGCTGAGGAGTTTCTCTGAGGGGCGCCCTGCGGCTGTCATGGAGTACGCTCCTTCCCCGTACAGGCCGTGGAACTCCGCGCCGTGTTTCCAGTCACAGCCCCGCACCGTTGCCCGGCGATAACGCACGTTCCCAGGCGATAACGCGCACGGTGCTTGAGCCAGCAGAAAAGCGCCCCAAATTTTATTTTTTTTATTTTTTAATTTTTTTTGTATTTGGTGGTGGAACCTTGCCCTCTGCACCCTCCTCGCGTTTGCGTGTTTTGGCATACAAAATAATCTCGTCAGCGCTGTTGGCGCTAAACCTCTGGACGCGCCGCCTTTCCAGAGGCGTTGTGCCTGACAGGAGGGGAATGCGAGTAAGTTGGGTGGCGATAAAATATACACACGCACAGTTATTAAATTGTTCGCAGGGGGCTGGCGGGCTTCCCTCCCAAACGCTGTCGTGAGCTGTGTCTGCGACGATTCATGTCTGAAGAGCGTTTTTCGTCGTGAGGAGAGGTTTGTACCCAGAGCATAGCGCCAGGCTGTGCGCCGGGACCGCAAGTTTCTCTCTGGTACACAGCAGTGTGCTCCATAGTCAACTTTTTCCCCCTGTAGCAGTTGATAGGGTGAGGCATCTAATTAATTCCTATCCTCCCAACTATGAGAAGCAGCAGTTTAGACCCGCAATAAGAGCTACCTTTTTTTAGCTTTAAAGGAGAGCAAAATGATTCGTGATAAACTATTACGTAGGGGAGCTGAGTGACATTTTATCCCGAGGAATCGTTTCAGAGAATTTTAAATCAGGCGTCAAAGAAGTTTTAGCCTTTTAAAACCCACTCGCCTGCCAACAAATCTCCCAATTTTGACAGAGTACCCTGTCTCCCCCAAGGCTGTCGCAGAATTTGTATCAAATGTTGGCCGCAAGAAATATAGTAGGAAACCAAAAAATACACTTTTTAGCTACGTACTTTTTCCTACTGGGAGAATGATATAAAGCAGATAGAATTACTAGAAGGTTGAGATTTCATCCCCACCTCTCTTTCAGACATTTTTCTGATCTTTCCTATGTGAATAATAATTGGTAAGCATCAGGGGAAAAAAATATCTTGTGGAGTCTTGAAACATCCTGAGGAGATCTGTACATTTGGCAGTATGTTGCATTTATATTTCAGGAACCTGAAAAAAAGTGAGTAAAAATATGGTATCTGGCAAACTTGGAAAAAACAGCATCAGAGATGATTGAATTCAAGGCTAAAATGGAAGAGAAACCCAACCAAACACCAAAAAACCTTTTTGTGTTACGGTCCTACCTATAGGTAAGTGGCCTAATCCTGTAGGTAACATTTCAGGATGGCATGATCTAGAGTAGTGGTTAAGTAGCAGCGCAGATTGCGCAGAGAGGTTGTATAGTCTCCATCCTTGGATATTTTAGGAGCTGAACTGGATGAGGCCTGCCACAACCTGATCTCGCTGTGAAGCTGGCTCTGCTTTGATGGCCTCCAGAGGATCCCTTCCAGCCTACTTTTTTTTCTACAATTCTGTGAATACACAATCTGTGCCAGATGGCTCCATGGCTAAGTCTTATGAGACAATTCCTGTGTTGAGCCTCGCTGACTTCGGCTGACCAGCCCACACATCAGCATCTCACCTGATGGCAGCTTGCAAGTATTATTTGCTTAAGACTCTGGTTCACGAAAGCATTTAAACACATTTTTAACTCTTAACTCATGCAGCTGCTAAGCTGGTATCCTACATGACAGTGACTTTCATACGTTTGCATCTAACATGTTGAGTAATTGTGGCTGTAGATGGATGGCTTTGCCCGAGTCAGCAATGTGTTGGCAAGTTCATAAAAATGAATGAAAACAAAGTTGTAGGCAGTACTTTCAAAACATTCTTTATTACACTGATGTCACTCTGCCCAAAAAAACAGGAAGTCTGCAACTCAGTGTGTTCATGTTCTTAAGAGGGTGCCTTCATCTTAAAACTGTAACACCAGTAAAACCAGCTGCTGCTTTTTTCTGTATCGTGACAGCTCAGATTAATGAAGCTAAGCCTCGGATCATTCTGTGCTACTTGCCTCATTTTTGCACAAATAGTTTTAGAAAGTGAAAATAACCTAGTTACCTCCAGTTCCATTGGCAGTAAACCACTGCAACTCTATTGTATGGTGTTCATTGCTGTCACTTCTGAGCAACTGAAGCCTCAATTGAATTCTTTCATATAATACTTACAAATAACACTTACTGTACAGGCAAAAAGCACTACCTGTAAACCAGTGCAAAAGGACCTGAATTAATATAAGTGATACAATATTCTTTAGAAAGATGTTGGCTGTTTTGAGGGGTTGTGTTTCTGCTTACAGTAAGTTTAAATTGCTGTATCGTTCTGCCATCTCATGAGGAAATAAAGCTGAGAAATAGAGATTTCCCCTACAGAGCAGAAAAATAAAGCAAAAATGTTCATTAAAAATTAACGTGTTATTTAAAATTAAATGTTAATTACAGTTACATGCTAATTTAAAACTAACATTTTGGCATCACTTTTTTTTTCTGACAAGAAACTATGTATGCACCATTGGTAAAGAAATAGCCAAGAAAGTCTTTTTAGAATAATTGGTAACATTTGTTACAGGTGGTTTCTGTGCTAAAAACTTGCTGTTTGTCACTATGGGGGAAGCAGTATCTAAGGTACAGCAGAGATCAGCTAACATCTCCTGAATTTAAATGTTGTCTGCTGCTTTTGAACACTAAAATAAAGATTTATTTTTTGAGTAGTCTTAAGAATGCAGCAGTAACTTTAGACCAGATTTCCCTAGGAAAAAGAAGCCTTAGCTTGCTGCATGTTTGAAGCCTCAGGGGGGAGGAAAGCAAGAGTAGGAGTCTGAATTCTCCTGTTTGATCGTGTCTCAAAATGCCTAGGAGCAAGCACTGCAGAATTTTGGTGTATCGGACTCAAGTTTGCAGGTTGATAGCCTCCTGGACCCCACTATGTCTCTTCTTTTGATGACTGTTTGTAAGAATAATCTGGAGGTAAGAAGAGGCACGGTAGAGCAAAACCCTGCTATTTGTAGAGACGGACAGGCAGAACAACCACACATTTATTTCCACCAACCCTCTCCACTAAGTGGAGCATTGTCAGCTTGAGGTTGACATTCACAGTGGTATCAAGGATGTGTTATTAGGGTGTATTGCGTAGAACCCACCTCAGTGGTTGTCTTCTAAGAGTAATACACAGGAGTCCTTTATTCAATTTATTTAGATTTATTTAGATGTCTCTATACTACCCCAACTTTTCGTGGAGAATAGATACCAACAATTCTGTTTCTTTATCATTTCCCAGAATAATTTTGAAGACTCCAATCAGAGTATTCTCCTCCTTTCTGTGAAAGATTATTTCATTACATTATGGATTTTACTATGCTAAAATATTTCCAGGTATTTAATCTAAATCTTATTTTCCCTCATTTGCAGTTTTGCCTCTTGTCTTTCATAATCCTGATTTTACCTCCTCAAATCATAGCTGATTCCTGTCCTGTTTCACCTAATAATACACAAGTTGGTTAGATTTTATTCAACTTTCCATTGATAGCCCAGGAAGAGTTTCAGCCTGTGGAGAAAATAATGAAAAGCAGCATTATTGATGAGGACAAGTCCATAACAGGCTGTAATTGTGAAAGACCCACTTAGCATTTAGTGGAAATGCTCAAAGGATGACAACAGGGTGTTTCTTTTAAGCAAATGGAACAGAACTGATTTTTGACAATATATATTACAAAGAAGCAGGTATGCTTCTTTGGTTTCCACGAGATGAAGAAGATGAGGAGTTCTCCAAGATACCACAAAAAGAAATGCAAAGAAAAGAAAGGATGAGTACAAGCCAGATGGGCTTTTTAAAAAGTCAGCTGAAGAAAGGTATAGGCCTTAGTAAGGTCATATAGAAAGGCCATAGTTGACCTTCATATAGGCAATATTCCAGGAAGAGGCTATGCTTGCCAGAGCTACAGAGATAGTAGCGTGTTTGTCTGGGTAAGCTGTTCTTGAAAACTTCTCTAACATCAGGTCATCCAAAACCGATACTTCCGTGTAATGGCAGAAGTCATCGCTTTTGCTTTTTCTTAAATATTAGGCCTGATTTATCTGGTGGAACGCAAACCATATGGAAACAACCATTATTATTTTTCTCTTTCATTTTCACAGGTGTAGGACACCTGAAAATAAGACATGGGCTAACAGCAGATCATTTCAATAAGGTGATAAACTGAACCAGTACATCTCCTGAGACACTGGTATGCATTTTTCTCCCAGTTAGCCTCATCCTCTGCTGTCTCAAAGAGGTCTCTAAGCACCAAGTAACAAACATCCTGCACTGATCAGGAGATGTATGTTCTTCCTCATCCTAATGCAAACATCTGTTCAAAAACTGGAGACATTCCAAGTTTTCTGCCAATATGCTCCAAAAGAAAATCTCTTCCTGAGCCCAAATTAGTCATCAGTTGACTTGTATTAACACGGGGAAGAAGGCAGCTGCAATATCCAGCTCATCTTTTTTCTTCCAACTGATGGGTTCTGTTTATCTCACCACGAGCAGAGTGAAAAACAGAGTAAAGCATGCAAACCAATTTTTCTTTGTGCTTTGTTTTGTAATAACTGTTTATCTGTTTTTACAGTTCTTCTCATTTAGCTTCATACTCTAATGCCATGGCTGTACCCAAAAGCGTTTGGAGAAGTTGATAGGCCCAAGGCGGGAGATGTTAAGGAATTCACTTTTATATGACATCATTGCTTCCATCAGAGCATGCTGACATATTGTCGCTTTGTTTTAAGCGGAGACACACTGCTCCTTTTTGAGAGTGTCCGCTCTGTTCAGAATGCCCTCTGGAAGTCAGCAGGAGCTGGACAACACCAGCTTCTCACAGGTGCTGTGGAGCATGCTGGCTGGTGTAGGAGCTCCTTAGAGGAGCGGGACACTGCTAACCACCTGAGGGGCAGCATCTGGCCGCCACCATGGGTAGAGCCACATGGATCATTCCCTGTTTACAACACAGATCTCTCCACTTGTGGCTGAACTAACACGTCCCTGTTTTCCTCTCCGGGGAACAGCTTTCAGACAATGACTTTTCTTCCTCACCTAGTGTTTTAAAGTGGATTTGCTTTCTGGCTCCAGAGCCGATCACCATGCCAAAGAACTCGGGAAGCGTGCGGATGATGTTTAGGGAAGGCAGGTGAGGAATGGTAACAAGTTAATCTTATGCAAATATGTGGCAACCATCTTTCTTGTCTTACTTGAGCCTTGAAGCTTCATCCTCTTCCATCCAAGTAAATGGAAGAATCGAAGTGACCTTAACAGAAAAGAACTGAGCCCCTTTTGCCCACAATAAACAAAGGATTTTTTTACGTGCTCTTACCTGAGCTACAAGCTGACATTCATCCTGCGTGTCTGTGATTCTGCTGCTCAGCACAGGCCATGTGAAAAACACATTCTTGCTTCTTCCTCTGGTGAGGAACAAACATGCACAATCGCGCCTTTGTAA